GCTACAAAGCCAAGGCCTCCTGTGATGATCTTTATGGAATAAATTGGATCCCAGTTATGGTCATGAGATGCCCCCCACAAGAAGTTGACAAAGAGCTGTTCCCTGGCCCAGCCCGCTCCAAATCCTGCTGGAGGGCTCAGGAACCTCGGGAATGGATGGAGGAGGGGACTTCCCAACAGTCCACGAGCAGATCCAGGAGCCAGGGACAAGCAAGCCACAAGTTTTTGCTCTGACAACAAAATCTCTGTGATTTTGGGCAAGCAGCACAAAGCAGGACCCCGATTCCACCACGACAACGGGGCAGAAGCGCCTTCCTCCAGAGCAAGCGGGAACTTCCAGCGCTCCTGGAAGCCTGAGGGAAACCCCTCCGTGGAGGAAGATGAGGAGAGCAGACTCCCTGAGGAAGGGAGAGGGCAGGGAAGCAGAGGGGAGCTAATTCCACCCCAAGGAAGCCAAGCTGGAAGCTGGAAGCAATCGGCACAGCAGCGAGGAGAAGCAGAGACAGGAGGAGTGACTCGGGGGGACGGAGGGGCCGCAGCCCCATCCCCTGCCCAGCCCACACTCACCGCAGGGGCACTGTAACTGGCGTGGGGGTTGTTCTGGATTTCCCACAAGCCCTCGTTGAAGCCTTTTCTCTTGTTTGGCTTGCCGTATTTGTCTTTGTATTTTTCGTAAGGGAACAGATCTTTAGGGCCCAAGAAGGCGCTGGAGAGAGACAAAGCAGAGGTGAGGCCGGAGCGAGGCAGGGCCCGGCGGGGGGAGCGAGGCAGCGCTTACGTCTCGTGGGTGCCGAAGAAGAAGATGGGGTACTTGTTCGGGGGGGGTTTCACGGCGCCGTCCGCGATGTCATCGATCTGAAAGGAAACCCAAAGCACCAGGAGGTCAGAGACAGCGGTGGCACGTCCTCAGCCCCCGGCAAGCGGCGTCGGGTCCGGCACCCGCTTGGAGCCAAGCAGGAAAGCACCCCTGGCTGCGGAGCCGAGTCCCTGCGGGAGCTCTGCCAGAGCAGTGGGAAGGATCCGGCACCGAGGTCTTGAGGGCAGCGTGGGCCTTGTGCTGCTCCCCCGGGATCCGTGGCCGGATGAGGAGCGGCCGCACGCCCCGTCTTCTGTGCTCCGTGGGCAGGGGGTGCGCAGGGGGTGCTGGGGAGGTCTTCGGGGCGGCGGGGACCCTTCCCCAAAAAGCAAGCAAGCTAAAGCAGAGGGGCTGTCCTGGCGGGGGCGGCAGTCCCGGGTCTCACGGCGAGTGCAGCCAAGCGGCGTCAGCTCCGGCCCCCCGAGCTCCCCGATCCCGCACGCGTCCACCTGCCAGTCTCTTGCCATCCAGGGGCAGTGCGTGACCCTGCCACGCCCTCGGCTGCTCCCGGGGACCCCGCAGAGCCCCCAAGCACATCCCAAAGCAGCTCCCGTTGTCCAGGAGCGCTGCGGCACGGCGCTGTCACCCGGCCAGTGGCACCGGCTGTCCCCCTCCCCGAACGCTGCAGCACCCCAAGTGACCCCCCCCAAAGCGCAGCAGCACCCGCTGACCCCGCACCGTGAGCGCTCGCAGCAGCCCCCACCCATGTCACACCCAGTGTCCCCTCACTGTCCCCAACAGGGACAGAAGGCCAGGCTCCGCAGAGCTGCCACCCCGACAGGAGTTCCCATAGGGGATCTCTGAGGCAGAGCTGGACCCTCATCCCAGCACAGCCGCCCCTATGGGGTCCCCATTCCGGTACAGGACACCCCATTCCAGTTCTGGGCCCCCATCCCAGTGGAGCTGCTGGAATGGGACCTCCTGTCCCAGAACGGGACACCCGCACTGCTGCTGGGCCCATCCCCGCGCAGGGCATTCCAGCCGGGAACAGGTGCTGGGATGTGACCCCACATCCCGGTCCGTGCGCGGGGACAGCTCCCTGGTGCCACCGCCGCCTCCCGTTCCACGGCAGACACCGACCTGGGTCCGCCACCGGCAACGGGACACGCGTCCGCACCGGGTCCCCACCGGCACAGCCCTCCCGTCCCGCTGCAGGTACCGTTACAGCATGTCCGCGCCGCTGCCAGCTCGCCGTGCCGGTACAGGGCGTCCCGTCCCGGCACGGGTCCCGTTACGGCACCTCCATCCCGGTACGCGTTCCCATCCCGGCACCGAGCCCCCATCCCGGCGCGGGATCCCCATCCCGGGGCAGGTACCGTTATGGCATCTCCATCCCGGCAGGGCCCGCCGCTCCGGTGACAAGGGTCGGTGCGCGGCCCCATCCCGTCTCCGGTCCCCGCTCCCGCCCCGGGACCCCCGCCCCGCTCCCGCCCCGTCCCCCCGCGGCGCGGCCCCGCCGTCTCACCCGGGCCGGCCAGTGCGGGTAGCCCTTCATCTTGGCGAAGACGAGGTCCCCGGGTTTGAAGCTGTGTGGCATGGCGGCACCGGGGGCGCGGCGGGCACCGGGCGCGGGCAGGCCCAGCCCAGGCCGCGGCAGCACCGGGCAGGCGGCGGGGGCGGCCCGCACCGCACGGCACGCAGGATGTCCCGCCCCCGGCCGCGACCGCGCCGCCCATTGGCCCCGCCGCACGTCGCTCAGCCCATCCCACCAATAGGAGCGTGGCGGTGGCGCGGCGGGATAACGGGATTGGGCCGCGCCGCCGGAGGCGCCGAAGCGGGGGGCGCTGGGGGGCGGGGCCTGAGGGGCTGTGGGGGGGACGGGGATGGGGACAAGGCCTGGGACCTGAGGGGGGACAGGAATGGGGACAAGGATTGGGAACTGAGGGGGGACAGGGACGGGACAGGGATGGGACACGGATGGGACAGGGATTGGGACCTGAGGGGGGACAGGGATGGGGACAAGGATTGGGAATTGGGACCTGAGGGGGCCAGGGATGGGACAAGGACTGGGACAAGAATTGGGAATTGGGACATGAGGGGGAACACGGATGGGGACAAGGATTGGGAATTGGGACAAGGATTGGGAATTGGGACCTGAGGGGGAACAGGGATAGGGACAAGGATTGGGAATTGGGACAAGGATTGGGAATTGGGACCTGAGGGGGCCAGGGATGGGGCAAGGATTGGGAATTGAGACAAGGATGAATTGGGAATTGGGACATGAGGGGGAACACGGATGGGGACAAGGATTGGGAATTGGGACAAGGATTGGGAATTGGGACCTGAGGGGGAACAGGGATAGGGACAAGGATTGGGAATTGGGACAAGGATGGGGAATTGGGACCTGAGGGGGGACAGGGCTGTGGGGGGGCTGGGGATTATGGGGGGGTGTCAGTGCCGGGGGGACAGGGTCAGGGCAGTGGGTGGGACAAACACCGATCCTGCCCCCAGCTCAGCCTCCCCAGCCTGGGGATGCGGCTCCCGGCTGAATTCCTTCCCTGGGGCCATCCCGGGGCTCCAAACTCCTCCTGCACTAGGCAGGGTGTGGGTGGCCATGTCTTGGGATGTCTCAGGCCCAGGACAGCCACCGGGAGAGGCACTGGGGCCACATGGGGCAAGTCTGAGCCCAAACTTGGGCTGAGCCTGGCTAAGCTGGAGCAGACGCAGCTGGCCTGGGAGCTGCGCTGGGGTTAACCTGCTTTTAACCCAAACTGCCTTCTCTGCAAGGTCACGGAAAGGAAAACAAGGAAAACAGTCCCTGCCCACACCGGGCTGCTCCCAGCGGAGCCAGGCGGGGGCAAAACCCAAACACAGCCCTGATTCTGGGGAGAAACGACTCGTTCCCGGGGTTTGGGGAGAGGTGTGTGAGGAGGGGGAATCCCGCCGCAGGGAATTCATGGAGGTGGTGTCGGGGTGGTGGGAGTGCTCCCTGTCACACTGTGAGTGAGGCCTTGCTGCTGCTGGGCTGTGCCACGTCCCTGTGTGCCATGTCCTGGCCTTGCCACATCTCTGCTGTGCCACATCCCTGTGTGCCATGTCCCTGTGTGCCATGTCCTGGCCTTGCCACATCTCTGTGTCAGTGCCGGCCTGCTGTGCCACATCTCTGCTGTGCCACGTCCCTGTGTGCCACGTCCCTGCAAGCCACATCCCTGCTGTGCCACGTCCCTGCTGTGCCATGTCCCTGTGAGCCACATCTCTGCTGTGCCACGTCCCTGTGTGCCATGTCCCTGTTGTGCCACATCCCTGTTGTGCCATATCTCTGCTGTGCCACATCTCTGCTGCGTCCTGTCCCTGCTGTGCCACGTCCTTGTGAGCCATGTCCTGGCCTTGCCACATCTCTGCTGTGCTGTGTCCCTGCTGTGCCACATCCCTGCTGTGCCACGTCCTGGCCTTGCCATATCCCATCCACGCTGCATCCTGACCATGCCATGTCCAGTCTGTGCCATATTCTGGCCTTGCCATGTCCCGGGCTTTACCGTGTCCTGGGCTTTGCTGTGTCCCGGGCTTTGCCATGTCCCAGCTGTGCAATATTTCGGGCTGTGCCACGCCCTGGCCGTGCCGTGTCCCAGCTCTGCCACCTCCCAGCAGCGTCAGGGCTCTGTCCCTTCCCCTGAGCCCGCGCTGTGCCACGGCGCTGTCCCGGGAGGGCAGATCCGTGCCTCAGCCCGTGCCCCGCACTGGCGATGCCGCCGTGTGTCCAGCCTTCATCCAGGTGTTCCTGGCTCTCGGTGCCACCGGGCTGTCCCCGGGGTCTGTCCCGGTGCCCCCGGGAGGGGCAGCGCCGGGTGCTGCTGCCCGGGTGACCGCACAGCCCCGTGCCGGGAGCCGCAGCCCCTTCCTCGGTGAGTCCCACGAGGAGGGGGAGCAGGAGCCGTGCCGCGGAGATAAACCCGTGAAACACGGGGGGATGTTCACCGCGGCCATCCTCAGCTCCGGAGCCCTCGGCCGACCCCCCAGCGACGGCAAACACGAGGCTCCTTCTCCGTGCGCTTCACACCCAGCTGCGAGCCCCGGAGCTCTCCAGCGCTCCGTTCGCCTGCTTCGCTCACACCGGGGCCGCTCCCGGGACACCGGGAGCCGAGGCTGCTCCGTGGGGGCGGGTTTGGGGGGTCCGGGAGGCTCCGTGGGTGCCGCCGGGGGTCCGTGGATGCAACCGGAGCTCTGGGGAGGTCCGTGGGTCCCGCTCCGGGGTCCGCGGGTGCCAGCAGTCCCGGTGGTCCCGGTGCCGGTGTCCCTCGCCCCCCGCCCGAGCGGGGCCGGTCCCGCCCCGTTCCGGTGACGGCGCGGGCGGGCCGGAAGCGCGGGGGGGGCGCGGCGGCCCCGCTCCTGTCCCGGTGCTCCCGTCCCGGTGCTCCCGTCCCGGTGTTCCCGTCCCGGCCCGGTCCCAGCCCGGCACCGCCATGCGCAAGTTCTTCCAGGAGATCAAGGCCGACCTGAAGTTCAAGACGGCGGGGCCCGGGCAGAAGCTCTCGGAGCCGTCCCGGTACGGGCTGGGGGGGGGACTCTCCGGTAACGCCAGCCCCGGTAACGCCAGCCCCGGTAACGCCAGCCCCGCGCTCGGCCCGGTACCGGGGCGCGAGGGGCTCGCGGGGCCGGAGCGGCCGCACCGCCGGGCCCGAGCGCCGCTTCCCGCGGGGCCGCGTCCCCGCGGCGGCACCGGCGGGGCACCGAGCCGTGTCCTCCGTGGCAGGGCCCCCAGGGAGAAGCCGAAAGCCGAGGTGGCCCCGAAGCCCCGCCAGGCCCCGACGGATGAGGCGCAGAGGGCGGCGGCCGCGGCGCTGGCCCGGCTGGAGCTGAAGCCCAAGGGAAAGGCTCCGTCCGCCTCGCAGGAGACCATCAGGAACCAGGGTAGGAGCGGGCCGGGGCCGTCCCGGCTGGAAGAGCGCCCGGGTGCCGCTCCCGAGGGTGTTTTGGGGCGGCCGTGGTGGAAATGGGGTCATGTGCAGCCCTGGGCTGGCACGCCACACCTGGGCAGGTGTTTGTTTCTCAGGGCAGCGCTGAGCTGTCCAAAAGCCTCTGGAATGTGCTGAGCCTCCACTGCAGCTGGGGTTTGTGTGTTGTAGTGAGAAAAGAGCTGATGGCCGAGGCGGCTGCTGGCGAGAAGGGGCTCTCCGTGGAAGAAAAGGTGAGGGAGATGCTGCCATTCCCTGCTCAGCATCCCTTGGGGCTGCTCTCCCTGGCCTGAGGGTATTTATAACCAGAGCCCCCCAAAACCTCCCCGTGCTCAGTTTGGTGCTTGGTTTTATCTCCCTCAGGAGCAGGAGGAGGAAGGGGCAGCTGCTCCCTCTGTCTCAGGGGTTTATTTCATCTGCCCCTTGACCGGTACCGTTGTGAGGAAAGACCAGAAGGAAAAGCAGCTCCGAGAAGCCATCCAGGCAGTGAGTGCTTCCCTTCAAACTCCTTCCCTTCCCTCTTCAAGCTCCTTTTGTGCCGTGGGTCCCCTCCAGCAGTGACCTCACCAACCTCCTTGGTGTAAAATCTCCCCCAGGACAATTTCACTTGACCTGTTAAATCTTCTCTAGCCCAGCAAATGGGGAACAGTTGAGCTGAGCTGGGGTCAGCTCCTCCCGGGGCAGCTTCTCTCCCTCTCCCTCTCCCTCTCCCCCAGTATTTCTCCGTGGACCCGGTGGCTGCTTCCATCATGGAGATCCACACCTTCAACAAGGACCGGGAGAAGGTCCGGGTGTGCGTGGAGACCATGGCCAAGTGAGTGTGACTGAGGGCAGGGGCAGCTCATCCCTTCCCTGGTGGGTTTTCTTGCTCTGCTTCTACAAAAGTCTTTCTTTTGGAAGAAAATGAAACTCTTGAACCACCCAATTTCTCAGCTGACCCGATGTCAGCATCCTGGAGGAGTTGGTCCCACTAATCCAAGAGGTTTGGGAGCTGCTGTTTTTTTTTGTTTAGCCCCAAAACATTGATGTATTTTATTTTCCTGGATTTCTCAGTTTTGTTTTCTCTGTGAGGTCTCTGTTTTCTCTCTGACCTCTGCGTGTCCTGTTTTGATCCAGGCAGTACATTCCTCTTCCTGCAGGTACCTGGATAACATCTATCTCCATCCAGAGGAGGAGAAATACCGGAAAATCAAACTGCAGAACAAGGTGTTTCAGGTGAGCTCAGACTCCACAGCTGCGCAGCCGTGGAAAGCCCTTGCTTGGAGCAAACTCCATCTAAATTCTGTCCTTTTCTTCCAGGAAAGGATAAGCTGCTTGGAAGGGACACACAAATTTTTCCAGGCTGTCGGGTTTGAGACAAAAACACTGCCTGTTCCAGGACAAGGCAAGAACTCGTGGTGTTAATGTGGAGTCAGGGCTTTGCGGGGTGCTGGGGACAGCTCTGGTTGCTGACAGCTCCACAGAGGTCATTCCTCCAAGGCTGGAACAAAAACAGCCTCTGAGCCTGCACATTCCTTGTCCCAGCATGACATTTCCCCAGAGCTCCTTGTCCCCGTGTCACTGCCCTAAAGCCCAAGAGCCTCACTCCATCCTTGCAGAGACCACGGAGGAGTTCTACGTGCTGAAGGAGGAGGTGCTGAGCCGGCTGGAGGATCTGAGGGAGCACAAGGAGCAGCTGCTGAGCTCGGAGCCCGTGCGGGCGCAGCTGCACCGGCAGCCCGCGCTGTTCCAGCCGTCGCCCGCGGCCGCGCGCTTCGAGCTGCCCCCCGACTTCTTCAGCCTCACTGCAGAGGAGCTGCGCAGGGAGCAGCGGCTCCGGTGAGCGGCTGCAGGAGCAGCAGGGCCAGGGGGTGGCAGCCAGCAGCTCCTGGCTCTCCTCGGGGCCTACAAGGGTCTCTCCCCGCAGGACGGAGGCGGTGGAGAAGGCGGCGATGCTGAGGACCAGAGCCATGCGCGAGAAGGACGAGCAGAGGGAGATGAGGAGGTACAACTACACGCTGCTGCGGGTGCGCTTCCCCGATGGATACATCCTCCAGGGTAAGAGGGGCTCCTCGCCCTTCCCTCGGGCACCTCCAGGAGCTTCTGAGTGTAAGGAGCTGGATCGCAGGAGGGGCTCAGTTCAGCTGGTGGAATGAGCCACCCCAAAACCACAGCGGGGTAATGTTTCTCCATGAACTCTTCCCATCTCCAAACCCTCTCCCTGCACAGGGTTGGGATTTTAAACCAGGATTGGAGAGAGAGGGAAGAATCTCAAGGCATCATTAATTAAATCTCCTCTTCCCAGGCCTCTGGAAACAAGCTGGACTCATTAGATCAGTGTGTGACAGCAGCCAGCATGAGGCTGCCTCTGTGATGTCAGACTGTACAACAGCATAAATCTTCAAATTTTCCAGTAGAACTCTGGCAATCATTTCAGGCTTTCCCAGCTCTTTGTTACAGGCTGGCAGGGGCTCCCAACAATTGACTATTTTTCTTTGGGGATTCTGCTTTTATAGTTTTCAGTTAATTCAGGCTGGCTGTGTGGCAGGGAAGTCGTTGATCAAGTCAGCATCAGTAGGTGAAGCCCCACGGAACCGACCACAAAAGGTTAGATTTTGGTAAATGCCAGACTCTCTCACCTTGTTTTCTCATGGCAGGGACTTTTTATGCCCGAGAATCAGTATCTGCGCTCTACAACTTTGTGAGAGAAGCACTCAGAGATGACTGGCTGCCCTTTGAGCTCCTGGGACCTGGAGGTCTCAAACTGACTGATGAGAACTTGGCCTTCAATGAATGTGGATTGGTGAGTGAAAAAAATTACTGTTGCTACCTTCCAGAGCATCTTGAGGCTGTCAGTCTTCTGCTGCTCAGAGCTGGAGGGACATTTGTGTTCTTTCAGAGTCCCAAGCTGTGCTCAGTCCCCTCATTTAAAGCACAAACAAAGCAGTAACTGCTTGGGGGCTTTGAGGTGTGGAGGGAAGTGCAGGGTCCTCCTGGAGCACAGAGCTGTCAGGGCTGGGAAAGAGGGAAGGCAGCGATGGTGAGGGAGGGTATGAACAGAAAACCCAAAGCAGCATCCCCCAAAAGGAGCTGTCTGCAGAATCCTTGTCCTTTTCAGCTTGAGCAGTCCAGGTCTGTGAATGCTCACAGGGTGTTCCACACCCGGGGGGAACAGAGCAGCTGTGGGAGCGCCCAAGGCCGGGATGGGACAGTGGGAGGTGTCCCTGCCCGGGCAGGGGTGGGACTGGAGGGCTGTAGGGATTCCTGGCAGCCCACACCCAGCCCTGGCTGTGCTCAGTCCGTGCCTGTCGTGCCCAGGTGCCCTCGGCCCTGCTGAGCCTGGCCTGGGACGCCGCGGTCATGGCAGACGTGGAGGCGGCGGCGGAGGAGCAGCGCAGCCCCCTCAGGCCCGAGCTGCTGGCCAGGGCCCAGCCCCTGTCCTGAAATAAAGGGCAGTGCCTCCCGTGCTGCTGCCTTCAGACTCGGCCCTCCTTTTCCCAGGACTGCTGGAGCTCCGTGAGCTCAGAGGTGGCTTTGGTTTAGCTCTGCAGAGGGGCTGGACCCGCTGTCCCCTGCCAGCTCCAGGCTCACAGGTGGCTCTCTCGAGGGCTCTCCACACCAAAGCAGGGATTGCCCTGGAGCAGGGGCTGCCTGAGGTGTTCCCAAGGCAGTGGTGGAGCAGGGGTTAGGGGCTGTTAGGCTGGATTAACAACCTGAGCCTGGGTAGGGGGCTGGGTTTAGAGCTCAGCTCCCCGTTCTGCTTCTGTGTGCACTGTAACTCCTACTGGAGAGAAGCTCTCTGGATAAAGTTACACTTAGTCTGATTAAATGGAATTATTTAAAGACTCAGTTCTGATCCCAGTTGCTTGAGTTGCATTGTTGTTGTTGTAGGTTTGAGATGCCAAACCAGTCTGTGCTGGGGCTGGCACTGGTGTTACTGGGGCAGCATCACCCCCCTTGTCCCTTCAGAGACCAGAGAGTGACAGCAGGGAACAGCTACTGCTGGTGCCCGGGGGGAGATAACAAACCTGAAATTACAGACAATCCTTTAAAGAAGTAATTCATAACTCACCAGTTGTATAAAATCCCCAGCAAGTTCATCCTGTGTGTCACCAAGTTTGATGCTAGCTCAGTCCTTCAATACTCAAGCAGAGTTTTTCTGTGGGACAGAGCCCAGCTCTGATGCAGACAAGAGACTGAGAATCTAGCCCTGACCTGTCCAGCCTGTCCCAAGATAAGAGAAACAATGCATTTTTCCTTTTCCAAAAGTCAAGCCCTGCTGCTGTTCTCTGGAGCAAGTAAGACCACAAACAGGATGGTACAAGAGCATAAATTCATATATAATTGTACATCATTTATACCCAAGACCACGCTGTACAACATTATGAACAGTCATTCCCCAGTGGCATCACAATAAGCTTATTCCAAAATCCCTCAGCTACTTTAAGAGATAATTTAGATACCTTCCATTACAAAGAAGTATCAAAATTTCAATAATGCTTTATTAAGGACAGATTAATATGCAGTATTTTAAAAAAAAAGCTAAAAAGCTAAAGCTAAAAATTTAAGCTTCTGTCTGGTCTGAAGCAGAACAAAGTGCTGTCTTCTCTTTACAAGAAATGTGGAATACTTTCAAGTATCTTGGTCAAAGATACACAAGGTTTAAAACTTTCTAGCTCATCCTACATACATACAGAGGAGTTAGTAGACATTTTAGTCTCAAATTGTATTAGATGGGCTGACCATGCTGCTGTCCTGGTGAGCAGCTCTTGTGCCACTGGATTCTGAAGCTGTGGAACCTGCAAAGGAGAGAATGTGTTTGGATTGTTTTGTTTTTATAAATATCCTCATTAATCCAGTAAAATTTGACTACTTCATGTTTTATCTGTCTTAGCTTCCTGCATCTGTTGTGAGTCTCCTTTTCAACACTATTTAAAAACTGGTTTTAATACTGGCTTCGTATTTAATATCACCAATCCAGAATAAAAAAATCACTTCAACCATAAAAAGGATTTTCATAATCTTTTCAGCGCTTTCGAGTCAGGCAGAGGCAAACAAATAGAGCTGCATGTGTGTCAGCAGAGCCTGAGGGAGGGAAGCTGCTCAGTGGCATCCTCAGAACAAGAGGGGACAAACCTGAGGCGAGGTTTTCATCTCAGAGCCTGGTAATAAGCAAAAGCAGCTTAAGATTAAAGCCAGGCTTCTTGTCAAGCAGTCCCAGTGTCTGTTTTGGGAGGTGAGAGGAGCTCAGAGAGGAAGGAGAGCCCAGATAATGCCTGGAAGGGTCAAACACTCCAGAATTTCTGTGCACGAGTCCTTATCTGCCAGAGGAGCTGCCCAACACAAACCACTTTCCTTAGAGCAGGTTGGGAGAGCTCTATTGTGAGCAGGAAGAAAGAGCCCAGAGCTTTGGAAACCACAGCACGTGCTTGGAGTCAGCTCATTGATCTGTGTGATCACGTCCAAAAGCTCCTGGAGATGAAAGGAGCTGCTCCACATCCTCATCCCAGCGTGGCCTGAAAGGAGAGGCTGCACAGAGGGGCTTTGAAGCCATTTTCCAAGGGATAACTGGGACACAAACACAAGCAAGAGCTGGCTGCTCCCTGGTGTGACCTCCTTCAGACAATTTGCACCTCTGAGGAGGCAGCAGAGGGGTGATAACCCAGCCCCTGCCAGGCCTCAGGGCTCTGCATGCCCCAGAAAACAGCAATATTTGCCATAATTCACCAGTGGCACTGCCCTGGTGCTCACCTGTGCTCCCAGATCAAGCAGGCACCACTGAGCCAAGTGCTGCTCCCAGGGGCTTGGTGCCACTGAGGCAGAAGAGGAGGAGGAGGAGGAGGGCAGGAGAGGCAAGAGCAGCTTAGAGAAGGCCATAAATAGCAGAGAAGCATCTTTAAAAAAGGGGAAAAAGCAGGAGTGTCTGGGATAAGGTATCTATAGAGAGACAAGCTCAAGGAATGGTGAAAAGGGCAGAAAACTCCAAGTTTAGCCCACAAAGGTGCTGCTCCCTTGGGGGAGTGTCTGCCTGGCACCCATCTCCCTTCCCACCTTTTCCTGGCTGTACATCCACAATCATGCAGTCATCATCTTCCTCATCTTCCTCAGTGTCTGCCTGAAATCCATCCATCTCTGCAGCCTGGAGGGAAAGAGCAGGTACCAGGTGTGAGTCAGGAGGGCGAGGGTGCCACGGGCTGGCACAGGCAGTGCTGGGCACCCTCTGGGCAGGTGGGCACATCTGGAGGGAAGGAAATCTGTCACAAGTCTCAGCTCGTGGAGCTGGGAATTGCAAAAGGCCTCCTCTGCAGTGGCACCCACAGTGGGAGAGAGGCCAAGTGCTGCTCCAGGATCCTTCCCTCTTACACAACGTGCTGAGCAGCCCCCGCAGCACAGGCAGCTCAGCTGCAGGAAAATCTGACTCCTGCTGCACTTGGGAAGGGAAATCTCTCCCCCCTCTGTTTATTATTTTCATAGAATCACAGCCTCAGAGTCCAACTGCTCCCCAGCACTGCCCAGGCCAGCACTGGCCCTGTCCCCAAGTGCCACATCCCCGTGGATTTTAAATCCCTGCAGGGATGGGGATTCCAGCCCTGCCCTGGGCAGCTTTGGGTGAATAAAGTTCCCTAAATCTCCAACCTAACCCCCTCTGGCCCAGCCTGAGGCTGTTTCCTCTTGTCCTGGTGTTCCCTGGGAGCAGAGCCTGACCCCCTGGCTGTCCCCTCCTGGCAGGAGCTGTGCAGAGCCCCAAGGTCCCCCTGAGCCTCCTCTGCTCCAGGCTGAGCCCCTTGGGATGTTCTGTCCCTTCTGAAGATGGAGAACTGCTGTGGCTTGTCAAGTTTGGACCTGGTTCTCTCCTGACTCCTCCTCCTCTTTGCCAATCAGCTTTTATTCAGGGAGTGGTGCCTGTTCTTCTCTTCTGCCCAGGTTTCCTGCCATGGGAAAAGCCCAAATTCCCTATTTTGACTGGAGAACACAGAACCCAAGCAGTGACACAAACCAAAGTTGCCCAGCTGTGAGGGTCTGTTGAGTTTTTTTTCCTCCTTCAGCTGGAACTGGAATGAAAATCCTGCTCCCCATCCCCTAAAAACTCTTCCAAGCCAAGAAATTTTCAATTTCCATCTTTCAACAAAGTCCCAGTTCTCAAATTAAATCCCTCCTACACGTGGGCAGGTACTGCCCACTTCAGCACCAAATTTTTTCTCTCCACAGCTTATGTACGAGCACCTTGACTCACACAAGCCCTGGTGTGAGCTCCCCAGCACAGAAACACGTGCCAGGGAGGGACCTGGCAGCTGTGCCCTGCCAGCCATGGCCCAGCCTGGCTCCACGGGCAGAGCAGGGCTGATTGAGACATCAGGGATGAAAAGCTTCTGGGGCTGTGACACCTCTGCTCAGAGCTGCACCTCCCCAGCACAGCCCTGAGGAGCTTTGAAGCATTCAGGCTGGTGATGTAATTCTCCTAAAAGCCTTTGTTTTGCTATTTCTGCTCCCTTCTAAGCTGAATTTCCAGTGGGTGCCAAGCAGAGACTTTTATCTCTGCCTTTATTTAGTGTACAAGAAAAAAACCCAAGCAGATGGAGTTTGGGGGCTGAACAGCTTCTCACAAGTCTCTGATCTCTATCAATACCTGAATGCTGAGCTTTTTCAGTAGAAAAGCCAAAAAAGCCAAGAATAAATTGGGAAGGCAAAGCATAAAAAGCATCAAAAGCCTCATCTGTGGTCCATGGGAGGGGGTGGAACGAGATCAGCTTTAAGGTCCCTCCCAACCCAAACCATTCTGGGGCTCTTTCCTAACCTGGTGCACAGGGAAGGAGGAATAAATCCACTGGCAGGGATTCCAAACCCTGCCCTGCCTGTGGGGTTGGAAGCCAAAGGTTGATAGCCCCAAGTTCCAGCACCTAAAACCTCAAGACAGCATCTCAAGCTTTGTGGGGACCCAGCTGTGACCCCTCCAGGGCCTGAAGGGGCCAAGAGGAAACATGGAGAGAGATTTTGCACCAGGGATGGAGGGACAGGACACAGGGAATGGCTTCCACTGCCAGGGAGCAGGGCTGGATGGGATATTGGGAAGGAATTCCTCCCTGTGAGGGTGGGGAGGGGCTGGGATGGAATTCCCAGAGCAGCTGGGGCTGCCCTGGATCCCTGGCAGTGCCAAGGCCAGGCTGGAGCAGCCTGGGGCAGTGGGAGGTGTCCCTGGGTGGGATTTAAGGTCCCTTCCAAGCCAAAGCATTCTGGAATTCCATGATCCCATTTTTCAGTCATGATTAGGCTCCAGCACCACCTGTGGTTGCCCTAAAAAGCAGAAGCAACAACAGGAAAACCACAACAGAGCCCCCAGGCAGCAACCGCTGCAATTCCATCTCATTTTGTCCCTATGAATTATTGTATTTTTAAACCAGCTCTCGAAATTCAGCTTTATGTGTGTCAGGATGAGCTGGAGCCTTCACAGACTGCTCTGGGCTGAGTTGCAGCACTTGGGAACCACATTTAATCCCTTCACATGCAACTGCTGTAAGTCATCAGCTCGGGCTGTACAACTGGCAGCCACAGGCACACATAAAACCTGCACACAAATTACACACAGCTGTAAAACCAAGGCCAAGCAGACTCTCAAACTATTCACAGCTTGGATGCAATCACTGCCAAATAGCAGAGAATGGAAGAACAGCAGGAGAGCAACGTTTCAAATGGAACAGAGAGTCCAAGCTGCAGACACACAAAAGAAACCCATCTCTGCAGCCCCATCATTTCACTTCTTTCCCCATGAAAAGGGTCTTGTGGTGTGCAGGACAGTGGCTGGAGTGAACAGGCCGAGCTGGGGGGTGCAAACACCCCCAGCCCCACTCCCAGCCCTCCTTCCTGGGGCACAACACCCCACCAGGAACTCACCTGCTCAGCACCCCGCGGTCTCTTCATGAACTTGGTGATGGACATGCTTCCCACGGCCTTCCTCTTGGCTGCCAGGGGGGTGGGCTGGGGCACAGGCAGCCCTGGCACGCTGCCCAGCTCCTCCTTGCCCGTGCAGGGCACCTGGGTGACGTAGTTCCACTGGCAGGGCACGGGGAGCTGCTCCTGGCCGAAGCTGCGCAGCACCTCGGCGTGCACGTACCAGCACATCCTGAACTCGGGCCTCTTCTCGTACACAGAGCTCTCTGAAATGATCCTCTTGAGCCTGGCCTTGGAGGGCACCCCGCTGTCCTCCCCTCCTGGGGGCTCTGGGGGGCTCCTGGAGCCGTGGCTGAAGCGTCCCTGGCGGCAGCACTCCTGGAACTCCTGGATGATCACCCTGCTCCCGTGCACGTTGCCGTGCAGCAGCGGCAGCAGCTGGCCCAGGACTGCAGGGAGAGGTGGCACAGGAAGGGTTAAAGGTTGGGAAAGCAGGGGGGAGAGAAATCAGCACTTTTAGGGATGGGATTGCCCAGAGAAGCTGGGCGTGCCCCATGTCTGGGAGGCTCCAAGGTCAGGTTGGATGGGGCTTGGAGCAAGTGGAAGGTGTCCCTGCCCATGGAAGGAACTGGATGGTCTGTAAGGTGTCTCCCAACCCAAACCACTCTGGGATTCCATGATTTGACGTAGGAAACTCACCCCCAATAATAACAACACCCTGGAGTGAAATCCCCACTCCCTGCCTGGCCTTTATGTGAGTTATTCAAGGCCTTGTGGAAAAGCTCAGGACTGGAAGCCAACACAAAAACCAAACCCTTTCCCCCAAACAACAAACAGGCTCAGACCCATCCTAAATCTGAGCTTGCTCAAGTCTGGTTGGCTTTAGTTCCTAGATTGCCCAGAGCAAGACTTTTTGGAGAGGCAGTGCCAGAAAACTCCTTTCCAAGAGCTCTCAGAGATTCCTTGGATTCCAGACTTGTCAGCAACAGGTCATTGAATGCAACACTCACTAATCCCCCTGCTCCCTCCAAAGCACAGCAGAACCCTGTGGAAGTACTGCTTAGCCCTTCAGGTCTTACTTTGCTGATCTTTTGCTCTTTTTTTGCTACATTTCTGTGTCTGC